TCGGGCATGGCAGGCTGGGCAGGATCTGCCGAGTTCGCAGCCTCTGCGGCCTCTGCGGCCTCTGCATCTGCGTGACCTGCTTCTTCTGAAGGCTCGGCGGGCTTTTCTGTCGGGGGAGCGGCCTCGCCAGCTTCTGTGCCGACTGCGCTTTGCGGCTCGGATGTTGCTGTTAGTGCTTTTGCAGTGGCCGCTGCGACTGCTGACGACGCTGCTGCTGCCACTGCTGCAGCTGCTGGCATGGCCTCTGGCTCTGTGCCTTTGAGCTCTGTGGGTGTTGCCTCTCTTGCTTCTGCTCTGACGGCTGCTAGCTCTGTGGCTGCTGGCTCCGTAACTTTGGGTTCTGTGGCTTCCGATTGGACAGCTGCTGGTGCGGCTGCTGACGTAGCTGAGGGTGCGGCTGCTGGCGTGGCCTCTGGCTCTGTGGTGGTGGCTCCACTCGCTTCTACCATGACAGCTGCTGGCTCTGTAACTTTGAGCTCTGCGGCTTCCGCTTTGACGGCGGCTGGGTTCGTGGCTGCTGGCTCTGTAACCTTGGGCTCTGCGGGCGTGGCTGCTGGCGTCTCGGCCTCTACGCTTTTGGCCTCGTTGGCTTCTGCTTTCACGGCTGCTGGCCCTGCAACCCTTGGCTCACTGGTTGCCTCCCGAGGTTCCGTCTGCGGTTCTTTGGCTGCCGTTGCGGCTGCCGCAGTCTGTGCTTCTGGCAGCATCTGCAGCGCTGCCTTACTTGGTTGTGAGCTGTCGGTTTCTTCATGTAGCCCGGCCACATCCACGTCTGTATTGCCGCGCATCTCCCCTTCCTCTTTTTCTCCTGCTGCCTGTCACGGGCACGCTTCTTGAGGCACTCAGATGGACCACAGAGCAAGGAGAATCTCTCTTCAAGAGTGCCTCGGCAGTCGCCGCCTCCATGCCTGCTGCCTCTGCAGATTCTGTGACCACCGCCGTGCGGCTTTCCTGCAGAGCGTGCGTGCGCATGACGGCACGATACAGTCAAAGGGCGGTCATGGGCGGCAGGGGACAAGGCCCGGTGGCAAAAACAGCATTCAAACACCATCAACAGTATCTTGGCGAGGGCATGCGAGGGCCACAGCGACTGCTGTCTGCTGTCCTCTGCCAATGCATCCGCGCGGAGCTTCTCGGCGATGTTGCGCAAGACCAAGATATGTGCCTCTGCATTGCTGCAGCTCTTCTCCAGGTCAGCACCCTCCAGGCCTCGAAACAGCTACAAATAACAGAGCCGACCCAAGGCTTCCCACGTGACTCGCGCGAATCGGTGCCAAGGAGCGGAGCATCGAAAGCGCCTGATGCCTTTGGGCCAGATGCCGAGCGCAGGCTGACACCTCTGCGGAAAGCTGCTCCTGTCATGGAGAAACAGAAGCAAGAAGATGCAAGATGATGCAAGATGATGCAAGCAGCTCACGTGTCCCAAGGGCCTCCCGCTGTCGTACAGCCAGGAGCTGCTGCTGCAAGTCATGTCTCCGCCGCTCCAGGTCCCTGCAGGCAAGCCGCACATTGAGCAAACCAACAAAAAGCAGTCATGCACCTCGTCGCTCGCAGTCGGGCGCGAAGATCCGAGAGCTCATCCAACTGTGTGAGATGAACGAGTCGCAGATGTTCAACGACAGCTCGTGGCAGGCGCTGTGTGCCAGGTTGTCCCGGGACCGTGCAAGGCGCTGCCCTTCGCGGAGTCGGAGGGCTCTCCGCCCGCTGAGGCCAGGCAGTCGCCATGTCAGCCCGGACAGCCCTTGCGGCCCTTGCGGCCCTTGCCGCCCACGCGTCTGCATCGGGGCTGCCGAACATGGAGCTAACGTCACTGACGTCATGGCCCTGAACCGAAAAGCTTTGAAGCTCGAAGGGCCTACATGGATCGCAGGAGCTTTGCCTGAAAACGAGCACATTCTGAAGACGCCTTTTGTCCGGGGGAAAAGCATCGACCTACTGGCGCCAGTAGCTCGAGCAGAGCGTGCTTGCTACAAAAGAGCCTGTGCCAGCACATGGCTGCATGGATTGAATCTTGCCTCCCGTTAATCACGCTGCTTGGACCACATCGTGGCTACAAGCCCTTGCGTCACACTGTCTACTCCCACATGAACAGTAAGGCGGACTCGGGATGCAAGTTCGTCCTACATATTTCCTTGCTCAGCAAGGATGCGCCGAATTCGCAAGACTTACGAGAAAGACGGCTGTGACCACACAATAAGATTGGCATGAGTTGTTTAATGTGGGGGTGGTGGTGTGGCGACAACCTCACGGGCATCCCACGTTCCGTGGACTTCGAGTACCCGTTAAAACTTTAGTGGAGAGGTCGACTCTTAGCTTTCGCCTTTGGTGCACCGCTCTCAGAGAGGAGCCGCTCGCCTTTCCAGCGGCTCGGGCGCTTGATGGGCGATTTTTAGTGGGTTTTGGGAGTACTGAGCGTGTTCATGGCTGAGCTGAGGCTGCGGGCGCGCTGGGCTGGCGGGGCTGTCGAGGCCGGCCGAGGTCTCCTGCGTCCTGGCAAATGCGGTGAGTCGGGGCTTCGTCTCTGCTAGGCCCCAATGCTCGTGCGCGTCCTCAAGACGCGGATGGCCCAGGGCTTGTCTTCAGACACACGGGGAAAAGCCCCACCTCACGGAAGCATGAGCCCCGAAAAACGCCGACTCTGGAACCCACCTGGTGATGGTGGCGTGCGAGCTCGCGGAATGCTCAGCATCGGCTCCACCTCGAAACAAGAAGATGAGCCACAGCTTCAGGAAACGAGGTTCCCTGCCTTTGCGGGGTCAGCGCCTTCAACAGTGAAGAGCCAGCAAAGGCTTTGCAGGGCTGCCTCTGGCGAATTGTCCTCAAACAATTCGGTTCCAAGCGAAGAGCAAGCCAAGGCCAAGAAAAGCAGAGAAGTGACGACCCAGTAGAAATGTGTCTTCCAAAAAAGGAACGCCGTCTTCGCATGGTCGCTCAGGCCGGCACACTGCCTGTGCCAAGCGCAACGCGATCTCCTGTTCAGGCTTTCTCTGGCCGAGCGGCCAGCCTGTGCCAGCCTGAAACTGATTCCCCTGACTCCCTTGGCTCCTGATCGAAGCTCGGCAGGTTTTTGCTGCTCGAGCTCCAGGGGTTCCAAGCCGACCCGGAAGCGCCACATGGGGTTGGACGTCAGCGGCTCGATTCCTCGCAACTCGACTCCAGGCGAGGGGAGGGCAGAAGCAACAACACTCTTTCCGCCTAGGGCCTAGGGTTTGCAGGGTTTAGCGCACCTACTTGGCCCAGGTACGGAATAGTCCGCGCTCGCAGGAGATGCTGAAGTGATCCCTGCTCATGAACTTCAGGCCCTGCGGGTTCACGGCGCGCTTGTGAAGCTCTGGCTGATGCTTCCTGCCCACGATCCTCAGGCCGCCAACAGGTCTTCAGCTCTACACCTTTCGTGTTAGGGAGCTGAGGAACATCGGCTGATCCGCCACGGAAACTGGTCCAATTCTGCGCTCGCTGGCCGGAACGTCAAGCACTCCATCACCAGAAAGCTCCAGGCAAATCGGGGCTGGCCTGGTCCAAGAAGCAGCTTCAGGAGGCGGAAATACTCCGAGCGCTGATGTAATCTCATACCGTGTCCCAGGTCTCATGAAAACCCCTTTATGGTAAATCGGCGCCCCGTGCCGAAGCTCAAGGAACCGAATCGCAGCTCTGAACCAAACAAAGCTTTCCAGAGCCCCAAAGACCGCAGAGCCTTTCATCGATCCTTTCTCGCGCGATCCGGCTCACCTCATCGCATCTGAGAGTGGCTGCCCTCGTGGCTGTGAAGCAAAAGCAGAGCCCCCAAGGCACCCGATTGGGCGAGGTCGAAGCATCGGGATTCACTTTCCGCGGCGGCGGAGACAGCGTTAGCAAGTGCGGAGCCTGCACTGGGGCGACTGGAGCTGCGAGCACAAGAGACGGGAGCATCTGCCTCAGCACCCTCCACCACCGTGCGGCGCACCTGCACCTGCAAGAAGATTGAGAGCGGTGTTGGTGTTGCATTGGGAGAAACGAGCCAGGTGGACACTTCTCTGCGGAGACAAGTGTGCGGCAGCACGGTTGGGCGCATCTTGGCCCCGAAGAGGGCCTCGGTCTTGCTGGATTGCAGCTCTCTGGCAGCAATCTACAGACCTGAGTGGAAGACTGGTGGGGCCAGGGCCGCCTTCTACCAAGATGGCCTGCATGACAACGCGGGGAACAACTGCGAATCGGAGTTCGCGCCGTTTTGCAGCCCAGAGCGAGCAGCCTTGAACTTGAGGAAGTGGATGTGGTTGCCTGAGTCCTGCTCTGGCCGTGCAAAGCACAGCAGCTGGCCTCTTGCCAGCTTTACGGTCTGGCTTTGCGCCACGAGCTCTTCCCCAACATAAAGCCTGAGCTTATGGAAGGAATGTGGTCCCGTCCTGTCCTATGAGTCTACGCATCAGAATGCACAGGCCTGCAAGCAAATAACGATCATATAATCATGCAACTTCTACCAGCTGCCAGCCAAGCAGCGGATTGGAGCTCAAGTTCGTCACGCAAAGCGACAGACCGTCGGCATCTGTATCCAGCTGACCATGTGTCCTGGAAATGAAGTTCCCCAGCTTCGGCTTGTCTGCAGCCTTAGCCAAGGCTTCGAACTGGTTCTGGTGGATCCGGCCCAGCATCAACGGGAGCAGCGCGCTCGGCACCTGGATGTCCCGCACGGCGCTGGGCAGGTCTGCGAGTTGGCTCGGGCTTAGGCCCTCGACGTGAACACACGCAAGGATCCAGGTGCCCGCAGTGCCCGCAGTGCCTGCAGTGCCCGCAGTGCCCGCGGTGCCGCCGCTTAGCCCGCTGTTCAGGTTTGTGTCTTTTGCTCTGCCCCGCGAGGGGCTGAGCTCCAGATCTTCCCGAACGGCTCGGCGAGGGCAAGGCGAGCTCGGCTCGCGACCGAGCCCCAGAAGCCGCGGCGAACCGGGCTCCGCTTTCTCCTTCTCCTCCTTCTCCGGCTCTTTTTCTCGGCGCTCCGACTCCAACAGGATTTCCCCTGGTACAAATCGGAGCCGCAGCAGCACCGAATTCATATCGGCGCCGTGATGGAACGCGATTTCAGCTCCAGACGACAATGGAATGCCCATCTCCCGAGGGGCAACTTTACCGTCCACCGAAATCAGGCCCGATCCACGAACTGTCAGCATTGCATTCTCACCTTTCGTGCCGCAGGCAATCTCAAAGGCGGTTCGCGATATACAGTTTTGCCGTTGGTCCGGCACCCAAGCCTCAAAGGCCCGCTGCTGGTGCGACCGACCCACAGGTACTAGCAGCACACCGTCGAGAATAGTCCCCGCGAGGCAAAGGCGATGGACGTCGGGAGGCAGTGTGTTCAAATCGACGCCCACAGCGGTAACGAATTCCAAGCCGAAAGCAGCTTGCGAGCTGTGTACAATTACCGCCTGGGCTTTCGCCTCGCGCGCCTTTGGGTTCGCCTCATTCTCCGGCGACGTCGGGGACGCGGCCATTGCCAGAGACCTGCAGAGATGCCCGAAAGCTGCCCGGAGCAGGCTCTGTCCGTGCGCCAAGTCGCTGAATGGGCTTCGGAAATCGCTCCAGGAGCCTTCAAAAGTGAACTCCGAACGAAGAATCTCCAAGACTTCCGCGTTCGGGCCTGGCCTCCGGAGGGTGCGGACGAGCTCGACGAAGCGGGGTCGCTCCTGGCAAGTTCAGTCCGCGTCGAATTGTGCTCGAACCGCCAGCATCCGCCAGCGCACCTCCTCCTGCGAGTGCACTGCACGCAGGGCCAGCTCGGCCATTTCTTTGGCCAAGTCTTTCGGCCAGCCTGCCTCAGCTCTCAATGTCATGGCGACGGGACTCTCTCAAGAAAGTGCGCGACCGAGGGGCATTCGCATCCAGGCAGCACAGGCAGCGCTCTAGTGCTCCGGGGCTGTGCTGCCTGAGGAGAGTTCTTAGTAGTGGGTAGAGCTCCTACACACCCGGCTTCGCAAAAAGGCTGCCACGAAATGGCATCTGCCACCTGGTAGGCGATGCCGCCGGGCCTGGCTTTGCCGTAAAAGCCGCCCTTCAGCAATGGAAGCGACTGGCCTGGTGGGATCTGCTGTCGCCGGTGCCAGGCCGGTCAAGAGCTCCAGCATCACCATGCCCAAGGAATGGACCTCGCCGGAGCTGAAGCGCCAGCGAAGCGCCGGCGGCTCACTCCTTTCCCCGCCGCGCCTCGCTGCCCTCGGTGACCCGCCCCGTGCGCGAGTAGATCGGGCACGCGTAGCCTGGACGCATGGCACCGCTCCCCGGGACCCAGGGCAACGCTGCATGCCGATCCTGGGGTGCCGCTGATCGTGCGGACGGTGACATGCAGCCTGGAAGAGCAGTGGAAAGTTGATGCATTCACAGATCTACGCATGATATACCGATCTACCATGGAAGAGAACCCGAGCTGGCAGCGAATTGGCATGGCTCGACGTGCAGCTCAAGCCGAAGTCTGCCATTTTGGCAGTTCCGTGACGATCCTGCTCTTGTGGAGTTCTGCTGCGGTGATGTCTCAACGCACGCCGAGCGCCCGACTAAGAGTATGTTGGCTGACTTGATGTCCCTATGGAAAGCCTTGGGCTTGGAGTTGAGCATGTGGGACAGACCTGCAGGAAAATCACATCGCAGAGGAACTCCGAAAGGTTTGAAGGAAAGAAGGCGGAACACCTGCCGCTGCATCCAGGCAGACGCTGAGCCGCTCAAACCTGGAAGGGAAAGAGGGAATACATCCGTGCTTCCTTGTTGCTTGCCCTGTTCTAGTGGGCCCCCGACCACAAGAACGGGCTGTTCGCACTCGGCTTCTTGCCTCACTGCAAAAAACACGGCTGACACGCCTCGTGTCTAACTTGTGCCTGTCTGCACCCTGCTTCGAAGACGCTTGACGAAGATTTGGTTCGAGCGGCTTTTCTGTAATCGCTGGAAGCAGTCCCCCCCCGACAAGAGCTCGTAGACCAGGTAGCGCTTCCTGTCAGAGCCGCTGTCGTGCTTGCCCCAACCCAGCAAAGTCACCTCGCACGAGAACGAAGGGTACTGTACTTCTTCGCAATTCACAAGGATTCAGAGACCAAGACCAAGTTGGGGTGCCGGAACTTGCTCAGCATCTGCACCTGTGACACGCGTACGCCCCCCGGCCCCCCATGAACGAGTGCAAGTACCTCATGTGACCAACCAATGTCAGTGAAGGGCAGAGCCATGCACACCGCGCTCTGGGCCTCTTCCTCAAACCCGGCCATTTCCGGGGCAGTGCCCGAGGCACCCAAGGCGCCCAGGTCAATGGCCTTTTTCAGCACGGCGGGGCCAAGCCGAGCGCACGCTCTGTCGAAAACGGGAAGAGAAAGGCCTTGATGGCCACCTCCGAGCCATCCTCCAGCTCACCCTCCAGGAAAGGCCACGTCCACGCGGAGTGCCCCGTGACTTAAGACAGGAGCCTTGTACACCGAGCCATAGGACCCGGAACCTAGCCGCCGTGAGTCATGCCAGTTGCTCCTGGGCGGATGCACCATGACCCGCAGGCACGACACGCTCGCGGCAAAAGAGCGGCTTGGCGGTAAGAGTTTGGGTGCATGCGAACAAGGCTCGTAGATTCCGACAGTTCAGCATAGGAGTACTCGAGGGAAATCTCCTTAACATGCCACAAACAGACTCCAGCTCCGGAAGAAGGCATCATGCTGTCAAGGCCAGGCCACTCTCAACTGGGTGCTGGGTCTGTGCGGTCGACCTTCATGGTGCACCGGCTGCAGAACGGGCGGCACCGGTTGCGGGATCGGCTGCGGGTAGCCTCTTGCAGAGGATGCTGGAACAAGGGAAAGCTAGCTGCCACGAGGCGACGCGGCCTGGGCCTGGGTGTCCTGGACGAACTGGATAGCCGTGCACAACGTTGGCTTTGCCACCAACTGGTGCGTACCTCCCAGAGTCCCAGTTTGCACATGCAGCCAACAGAGGCCTGCCAGCCAAACCCAAACCGACCTGCAAATCCTGAGTTCCTGCCGAGGAGCGCTATGCCTGGCTGTGACCATGGCTGGTACATCGCAGAGCAGGCGCAACTGGCAGGCTACATGCTAAGGCAATTGGGATGCAGTGCTGATTGGCTATGGTTTGCCGGTTAGCATCTGTGACCGGTCGTTTCGAGGGTCCAACTCCTGCAATTTAGAACACCTTGCCCAGAGGACTAGGAATGGTTAGACCCACCTCCGACTATCGTGTCTCTGTCATCTGCGAAACCTCTTGGTCGAAAGCCAGCAGCGGAAAGAGCAAGCTCTTCCAGGATTGCACTGGACAGCTGCAAGCAAACGCAAGCGACTGCAACTCGAGCGCTTGGTTGGTCTGGCAAAAGTTTACCCGCCAGCTGTCTTTCGTCGTGTCTTTTTGTTCGAACTGCCGCGAAGGACACTGCCTTCCCGCCAACGACTAAAAATAGCTTCCTACCCTACACTATCGGGATCAACCTCAGCAAAGTCGCTATCATGGCCCACATCCGTCACTTGCACAAATATCGGGCTCTACTACTGCTACCACTGATCGGTTGCCCCGAAAGCACACAGCCCCCCCCCCACTCCTCAGTCCTCGCTACGCGAGGCATAAGAAGAGGTGGGCGCGATTTTTTTGCAAACTTCTCTGTGAGACGGTGACAGGTGAGACCGTGGATCGTGGGCTGTGTCTCATCGCATTCTGCGAGAACTTCCCTTGAATCCGAGACGATTCTAATTCAGATTCGGGTGACACCGGCCCTGGCGGGGCCAATGAGACGGAAAGGAAGCGCTCCTTTCTGAAGAGGGTGTGCTGAAACGAGGGCCGACCTCTAAATCACGAGGCTTCCTCCTCCCCGGCCCCCTCCTCCTTACTCCCATCCGCGAGGCCGATGCTCTTGCTGGTGAGGGTCGTGAGCTCCTTCAAAATGCCGTCCATGTCCTTGTCGCCGGGCAGATCGGGAGGTATTTCCTGAATAAGCTCGCTGGAATCCTCCAAGGCCATCAGCAGGGACTCAGTGGCCTGATTGGGATCTTGCTTGATCAAAACGACGGCCCTCTGTGCGATGCGGATCAAGATCGTCAGATCCGCGATCTTCTCCTCGCCGCTGGCACCCAAACGCAACCTCCCCGTGAGCATCTGCACCAGCAAGCTGGCATCCGGCTCCCGCTGCACGGCCAGCTCAATTGCTGCCTTGCAGGCCTCCTGCAACCTCAGCAGGACTAAGGTCACTAAGGCTTCCAAGGCTAAGGAGGGGCGCGAGCACTGCGCGCGAGAGGCAACAGCCCTCAGCTGCCGGCGGGTGCTCTGCAGAGACGCTGGTGCCGTAGCGCAGGATGGCCGCGAGCTCGGCACCTCCGGCAAAACAGCAGGTCTCCCAAAACAACACAACCACGAGCAGCCACGAGCACACAGAAGCGACTACACTCGAACTCCGTTGATGTGAAATTCGCTTCTTGTTGGCCCAACGGCCGAATAGCGGCCCACTTGTGCGGGACGGGCGGGCCTCCAAACGCAGCACCACCATCACCTCAGCAAGCCCCACAGGTGGCATGCACGTTTGCCCGGGCCTTCTGACGAGGAGCTTAAGTTTCGCAAGGTGGTGACTGCAGCCAGACCGGCTGCTTTCGCTGTGGAGACTGCACATGTTCTCGTCGCCTTTGGGAGCCAGTCCGTCAAGAGCGGGATGAGGGTGTCACAGCTCTTGATAGCGGTGGATGCGTACTCGTCCTCCGTGTCTGAGACCATGCGGGAGACGGCAATCAAAACTGGAAGGGCGCCAGCAGCAGAGTCTGCCAAGGTGGCAGCATCCAGCGCGTGTAGCAGAGCCTGTGCCAAGTTCTGGGTCATCTGAGGATCCGTTGGCAGCGTTTGGCTGTTGATGGCCTCGACGGCACAGGTGGCCGCAGCCGTGCGCAAGACTTCCTCGCTGCTCCGGAGCTCGCAAAGGACCGGGGGCCAGATGTCGTCCATGGGCATCGAGTCTTTGGAGTCCTTCCCTGTATACCGCTTCACAGCATAGGGCAGAAGCCTTGCCAGAAGCCGCAAGGAGGCACAACGCAGCCCCGCCTCCAGATGTCCTGTAAACTGAACCGCCGTCTCTACAGCCTCCAGCTCCAGCAAATGCCCCGCTGTGTCGATGCCGTGGCGACACAAACAGCTCAGTGTTGACAAACACGCTCTCTGCATGGGAAAGGCCAAAGCATCGTCCCTTGGATCCCGTTGGCCTTTAAAGCGATCAGTTCTTAACCATTCCATGATCGCTTGATGGCCTCCGAACTCAATGATTTCGCTGGCGTGCGCATGTGAGAACCAGGCAAAGTGGCCCAAGATGAGTACCAGCAACTCTCCATCCTGGGCCGTGTACTTCTTTGGCCCAACCCCCTCTGCAAGGACCTCGCAGATGCCCTGCACGTGCTCCCTCTTGGGGCCGGCTTGCCTCAAGATCTCCACGTCGCAGCCACGCCCCGAAAGTGCATTGATGTCCTTCTGCAAAATGTTGTGCGTGGAGCTCCGGGGCATCATCACCCTTACGCTCCCCAAAGACATCCACTGCGAGTCGGCTGCGTCGATGTCATCCCTTAAGCCTTGCTTCCGACGGAAGCCCGCAGTCAGATGCAGCAAATCCTCTTCGTCTTTGGAGCGCGAGTCGTTCGCGGGAGGAGAGAACTCGGCGACGAAGTTCTCGATGCCTAGGCAGGGGCACCCAGCAGACCAAGCACAAGCGCCACACCTCAATCCCCTACAAAGGCCCTACAGCTGTCACAGCATCCACACCTCGCGGCGCCCAACCATGCGATTTCAAATCCTCTACATCCATGTGGACCTCGCGAAAGCAGGCGCTGTGCCGCCCCGCAAAAAAAAACCTTGCAGTGGCTTGAGGTGTCGGCTGAGGGCCTGACCTGCAGCATTCCTCCCAAGTCCGGTCCCGAAGACCAGACGACGGGTGGGAGCACCGCGATCAAATCGCCACAGAGCCGGGCGATGCTGGCCACGGCCCGCGGGCAGTGCTTCTCCAGAGCTCGGGTGCCCTCCTGCAGCACCTGCGTGGCATCCGGGTGACCGGCCATGGCCGCAAAGATGGCCCCAACGCCTCCACCGGCGCGACTGGCTTTCAAAGCCACCTCGTCCTTGGACAAAGCGAATAGCGCCCGGACCGCAGTCTTCTGCAGCTCCTATGACAAACAAGGAAATGCAATAATGCCATGCCTTACTCTATATCTCTCTATCTATATCTATATATATATATATAGGTATATAGGTATATAGGTATATACTGGTATTTTTGTTTTTTATTACTACATATTACTTTGCACTGTCATGTGTTGTTGTAAATTGTGGCGGCATGGGTTGAGTTTCCTTCCTCTCTGCTCCTTGTCGGAACGGTGCCTGGCCATGGCATTCACGATCGTCCGGATGCCCCGATTCTCAAGGGCCAAGAAGGAGGCGCCGAGCCGGGCGATGATCAGGATACCCTGGGAGACCAGATCAGCCTCCGACAGCCCAGATTGGAAGGACGTAGACTAACACACCGTCACACCACACACCTCTCAAAAAAGCCTTGCAGCTTGCCGAGGGGCCCTTTGCCCATGCTTGCGCATGGCCAGCTCCAGGATCTTGAAAACCTCCGTGGCATAGCCGTTGTTGTGGAGCAGCTCCCCAATCGACGCAAGAAGGACGCAGCACTCGAGCTGTATTTCTGCATCTTGTGGAAAAAGCTTCATCGAAGTCAAGATCCGAGCCAGGCCATGGAACGTCCACACCTCAGGGCGACAAGAAAGCGGGCTGGCACACCGAGTCAAGGCCCGGATCCCGTCTGAGGCATGCCTCCTCCAACTGCTTCCCCAAGGTTACGACGCGGGAGCCCGCCATCGTCATCTCGCGGGCCCGAATGTACACACGTCGCAGCACCTCCACTGACACAAAGGCAGGTCAGACCCTCACAGGCTGCCATCCAGCGCCTGACAGGCGATGAGTTGCATCTCCTGGTCGCTCGGGAAGTTGTCTGATGACCTCAAGGACTCGACATTCCACAGAAAAACGCACAAACACTGCGGGAATTCGGTGTAGATCCCGCAGCTTCAGCAATCCGATCCCGGACGGGCTGCCGCGACATGAAGTGACTTTCTTGGGGCGAGGCTTGGCTGGTGATGGCTCTGCCCTGGCTACTTGGTAGCAACTGGCAACTGGAAGGCGTTGGCTCAGAAATTGAATCTGGCTTTTCACGAGCCCAGCCCAAGAGCCGGTGAATTTGCGGAGTTGGTGACCTTGACAGTTTTGAGGGAACTGTTTTTTCCAATTCTCCCTGCAGCAACACCAATGCTAAGCGGACCCCCCCCCCCCATNNCCCCCCCCCCCCCCCCACAAAACATAGCCCGCAATTGTCAGAAACTCCTTGCGCAGCCGAATAAGTGGCACCAGCTACCGACGCGCCGAGGCCAAGCAATGAAGCATGTGATACACGAGTTGCCAATGGAACGAGCACGGGACTTTAACTACTTCGTTAAACCACATCGGACAGATCCAGTCGGCGCGAGACCGTCGATTCGCCCTGTCGGTACAAGAACCTGCCAACTCCCGCCAGCGCAGACAGGAAGACGACGCATTGGCCCGTCGAAACAAGCAAGACGAGAAGACTAAGATCCAAGCAGGTCGAATAAAAAGCAGAACAAGAAGCAGGAAGCAACTAACAGAGTCAAAACTGGCAAGCAACAGGCAAAGCCCCGGCAAAACAAGGCTGTGAGATGCCGACAGCAAGATGTCTGGTGCAACCGACTTGTCGAGGATGGCATCCACTGACAGTAAGTCGTGCTTCGTCAGGTGCCCCAGAACCTGGAAGCCTCGGAACACGACCTGCGGCCAGCGCACTTTAGCTAGTCACGCTCGTCAGCGTCCCCTGAATAGTAAGGCTGTTTTATTCAGCTTTGATCACGGAACCCTAAAATCCCTAAAATAGCAAGGGCAAAAAGGCACAGCTGGGAACCCTAGTGTTGCGACAGGAGCGAAATCCTGTCTTCTCCCGCCTCTCGATTCGAGCTGAAGTGCCTCATGATGACCACCGTCCGCTCCACTGCATGATGAAGCCGAAGCCGCTGACAAAACTCAACGTCATTCTCGGTCTTCTCAATGGTTGCCTTGGTGGGCACTTCGGCTTCGGCGGTCCTTTTGGCCTCTCATCGTTCAGCGATCAAGATTGGCTTCGGGCGGGCACAGCTGGAGGCAAACAGAAGAACAGGCAACGACCACACCTCCCAACATGCTGCGCAGTCGGCCAACGACTGATGCGTGACGCCGGAAAAATCGCCTTCCCTCTGCACTAGTAAGTCACTAGTACAAAATTGGTTGTGGTGAGTTGGTATAATTGGACCGAGATGCTTCTAGACAGGCAACCAAAGAGTGAAGTTGCCCAAAGGAGCAGTCCGCAAGGTCCAAAATCTCTTTGGGCGTGAGGTTCACCAGCTGCGACTTCTGCACCGCAATGCTTCCGCCTGGTTGGGCGTAGAGTTTCAAGATCTCTGTTCGCATGGTGGAGAGCTGCTCCATGGACGTCCCATCCAGGTCCGACGGCAGCGGCTTCACCTGGAACTTTTGGGGGCTCTTTAAAGAGGAAGCCAAGAAAAGCCGCAGGAGGGGAATTTTTTTGTTGGGGGGGGGGGGGGGGGCACAGGATAGGGTTTGGTCGCATATGATGGCATCGCATGGCTCTTCGCACCTTCCGCGGCTGCATGAGCTCGCGGATGGAGGCGGCCATGTGCGAGGCGTCGATGATGTCTTGACTGGCAACCAGCGGTGCTTTGGTCAGCACGGCCTTTTTCGTTATCTTCGAGAACCTGACGTGGCAGGACACAGGGCAGAGGACGCAGGCAGCCAGGGCAGGCCTCTATGCAGAGGCTTCTTCGAGCCGAGGCACATGGGGAAGATCTCTGGGTGCTTTCGGATGGGATGTCGATGATCACCCAAGATGTTGACGAGCATCTTCAGCAGCTGGTCTGGGGGCATCTCTCGGCCCTGGAAGTTCAGAGTGTTGTAAAGGCTCTGCGTATTGCTTTGGCTCTGCGTGCTTTGGGTGCTTTGCGCTTTACTCTGCGTGCTGCTCTTTGCGTGCAGCGATGGGGCGGAGGCTGAAGCGCTCAGGCCCCGGACAGTCTTGGCAAAAGCCTCTTCTGTGTCCTTCAAGGTAGTCAGAGCCCGTGTCAGTGCGACACTTTTCCTGGGCTTCTGGGCCGGTGAGGCGGTGTCTTCCGAAGTCAGACCTGTCTCTGCCAAGCTCTGGGAGTCCATGGCCGTTGGGCTTCGAGACAGCGCTGGCCTCTTGCTCTTCGGGCTCACTGGTGTCGGTAGTGCCGGCGCCGGCTTAAAGGTGGGCATCTGAGGCCCACGCACCACCTCGATGAGCCCCGAGTGCAGCAAGGCAATCTGAAGCATCATGGAGTTTCGCCGGACATGCCGCCTCTTGGGAACCACACTCTTGAGCAGGAACGCGCCACACATCACCTGCTCCGTGGAAATGCCGAGGAGGTTCGCGATCTCTTCGGCCACCATTTGTCTCAAGGACTCCAGGTGTGACTCTCCGTAGCTGAGCTCGAAGGGTTCGATGCTGAACTCAATGTCAGCCACTGCTGCCAAGACTAAGTCCCCCATCTGCCTCCCGTGGGTTGACAGAACACCTGGCGGTGGATTGAAGGCCAAACTTGACACCAAGCGATCCTCGACTGCGCCCTGTTCTGGTGTTATGCTCAGAAGTCTCCAGGTGTTGGGCTTGCTGCGGGTCCTCTTCATCCACAGGTCAAACTCGTAGGCGATTCCCTCATCGTTGCAGCCGTGGAGTTTCGCCGGGTCCAGCAAAGGCCCACCCCTCTGGACGATGGTGAGACGGCAGCTCTCGCACTGGATGACTACAGCTCGAGCCTCCTCGGCGTCCTTGTTGATGGAAGGCAAGGATGGCAAGGACGGCAAGGAAGGCGAAGGCGAGTTGTGCGAGTCCACTGAGACGACGACGCGGAGCATCGCACCCACAAGGACACTGGTAACGCAGTGTGGCCAAGTCGGCTGGTCTGGTGTGGTTAAGACTTCCCGAGTCGCTTCCTCTCGCAACTGAACAACCGCTGTCGGCACGCGGTAGCAGAAGGTGCCTCCACCGCGAGAGGAGAGCCTGCGAACAGCTTCCCTTACATTCTTGAAGGCCAAACCCTTCTCGCCCGGGCCCTTCACCGACTTCTCGTTGATTTCAAGAACCTGTACAGGTCCCGGTGGGCGAACTTCCACAGCCGCAGGCACGCAAAGTCTCAGATTGTTCAGAGGCTCCAATCGCCATGCAGCCGTGACGACGTCATTTCGAGCGGAGTTGAGCCAGTAAGACTCTCCTTTGGAGTCCTTCACAGAGTTTTCCGAGTCTCGGCCTGGGAGTCCCTCGTCCAACCAGCTGGGAGAGGGCGAAGGGAACGCCTCGGGCCGGTCCTTGCAGCACCGCCGGCCTGCAAGCCAAAAAAACGTCCGTCGCGCTTTTGGTTTTTCTCTTCTCTCCCTCTCTCCCTGCCTAGAGCCGCAATCGTCGACTGCGGTAGCTCGGCTGCTTGGTCACATCCCAGCGACCGCCAGACCCACATGACGGTGCGAAGCCACAAAAGCTGCGCCAAGGACACAAACACCGATTACCACAGCAGTGTTATGAAAAGTCCCACCAGCATGTCTCCCCCTGCAATCCTGCAAGCTCCTGTTGCAAGGCTACCTTGATGCAGCCGGCCCTGCTTTTCGGGCTCTTCAAATTGTAAGGATCACATCTGGTCTGGGACGGCGTCAGCAAGCTACAGTCTGACGGAAGATCGCCTACTACACGACCACAGAACAACCGGTTACATGCTAAAGCCACTGGATTTCTTTAGGCATCTCGAGGTTCATCACTTAGAGACAGAACGTAAACCTACACGGATACTGACACAAAGTGAGGCCTTGCGTCACGAGAGGTACCGCAAGAGAGTGTCGGCATGCGAGCTGTAGCTGCGCGCCACTCACCAAGCTCCAGGGCTTGCGTCTGTTCCAATCAACTGCGCCTCAAAAGCTGAAGTTTTCTGAATCAAGAAGGAAACATTGCCGCAAGCGCTTGATTGAAAAATTGTTGGCATGCACTAAACTCTTTAATCGACAGCCCGAAGGCAGTCAAGCACGCAGCCAACAATAACGGCCTAAGTCGTGCGAAGTCCCTGTCTCTCCACTGACTCTGGCCCTGGGACTGTACGAAGAGAAGGAGTCCACGTCAGATGCTGGACGTTGCCAGTGTACAGACAGGCACTTCGCACGTGTGCACATACGGACTGAGATCAAATTCCGTGAAACAAAGCAAGCGAAACAACAAAGAAACCAACTGCACATTGAACCTTGAAGACTCAGTCCTGAGGTTCGCTCTACCTATATACATACAAATTCGATCATGCACCAAGCAGCAGGGACGGGCGGCACAAGCTCGTAGAACAAATGGATTGAGCTTGATCATCGCCCGGTGGAAGGTAAGTCATGGACCAGGGACTACACGGCTTCGGAATCGGATTCCTCACCCCGTCTCAGCCAAGACCGACTGTCTGGGCTCTTGGTCTCTGAGCTGGCCTCCGGACTCTGATGGACTCTGGGAACATCTAAAAACTGGGCGCACGCCAAAGCTTACGCCCCGGCCGGGGCCGAATCGGTGACGGTCGAAGGCGGTGCCACGGGCGGGTCAAGAATGGAAACCTGCCGGCAAAGCACCAACATGCACAGACCATGACACCTGGAACCGGAACAAGGGCTGCGAACCTGGCAAACCGGACACCTGGCTGAACAGCTTGTGAACCACTTGCAAGCCTGAAGGGAACCCGGGTTCCAACAGCGGCGTGCTGGGATGGTTACTGAGTGCTCGGCACATTCAAAATGGAACGCGTGGCCGCAAGGCAATTGTGGCACCTTCCGGCGCAGGAGCGTGCGGCGCAGGAACCATGAGAGCCGCGCCCAACTGTGCCAGGCCTTACAATCTCCAAGTTCCAACAGGCAAACCTCGGGCAAAACAAGCTGAAGAACTTCTCCTCCTCTGAGTGTGTTCCGCCGTGCCCGCGTCCCGCCGCGCCTGGCAGACCTTCGAGCCGCAGTCCGCTGCAGGCACCAGGGGCAAAGCCTCGCAGGGGACCACGTTCAGACTTTCAGAGCTGGGCTCTTTCTATCTCTGAACTCTGCTCCTGGCCTGCAGCAAGGCTTCTGGAAGAGTGTTCTTCTTGGGTAGGCTTTCGTCTAAGAGACAGAGCCTGGCAGGGAGCACTGCTCGGAGCCCCGAACACGCTCTCGCTCTCACCAGTCTCAGGCATTCGCAGCTCGTAGTCTTCCGGGGTCACCTGCACACATCCGACCTACGAGCTTCCGTGACTGCAAAGGGTAGTGCCTCGCGGTATTGAAGCTTCATAATCTCTCGGCGGATCTGACTGGCCTCAGGAAGTTAGGCTTCCGACGACGGGACGGTCGGGAAAAGCTACAAGTACAAAAATTCCCAACCACCCAACAGCTACTCAGACTGCAGCTGGCATGTGCAGAGGACAAGTCGTCCCCTCCGAGAGCGGGCCTGTGCCCAGAGTGCAGAATGCAGAAACCCCGGACCCCACGTTTCTCGCGCTGGGCCTGGTCCATGATTCGCTTGCTGCCTGGCATAGGAAATACATCCAGACTTTAAACCGAAGACGAGTTTTGTCAAGGCGCTGCCCTTGAGCTGCCACGGAGAAGCCTGTGCCAACAACTGGATACTTGCACAAGCAAGCATCGTCCGGCCACCGATCCTTGAGATTTGCTGCGCTTTTTGCGTCCGCACCAAGCCTTACGAGTCAGGCTCTGTCTCTCTTGGCCATGTCCCCTTTGATGCCAGTGGCGAGCCGGTGGCACAGACTGCATCCTTCCGCAAACACGCGGCGAGGCGAAAATCTTGGCGCCACACTGAATCAGAGTGGTGCTCCTGCGTGCTTCTTGCATGTCAATCGAACGCAGTTCGTGGTCGTGGTAGCCCATGGTAGACAAAATGGCCCTGCAGTCCTCCGCATCCAAACTCCTGTTTGAAATGGCTGCAGATGCCTGGATGCAACGGTGATGCAGTGCCATCCAAAGCCTACAACACGCGCGGGCTTCTGTTCTGTCCCATGTCCGGGCGTCAAGCGGTTGGACTATTGATGTCCGGCTTACTATCACAGCCTTGGGCTGACGCGCTAAGATGCTCTCAATTCTTGCAAGCATTGTCAGCTGAGCGCCAGGCAGCCCATCCTCCAGACTCCTGCAAACTCCGACTGGGATGCTACTGAAAAGGAGAAGAGGGGTGCCCCAGGCTTGCTTGCTGGCGCTCCTCGCGGCGAATCGCTTCGTGGCAACGATAACTAAATAACGGGTTCACTGAGTAGCTGCACAAAAGGCACAAGGTGAGGATGTGAACACTCCAGATGCTCTGAGAAATGCACAAAGCCTACAAGCGGTCACTTCCATTTTGCAGCATTCAGTGAAACCTCGGGCCAGCGGCAAGATGCATGCCAGCTGTCTCATGTCATCGCTGTGCAACCTAGCAGACCTAGCAGAACAAAAGCAAAAGCAAGTGCGACGATGAAGCACTGGGACCTTTTTGATCATGCTGCTGAGTCTTTTGGGGCATTCCGCATCCGTGAAATAAACCTACCATTTGGCAGTTTGGGAGATAGCTCCGGAAACCTACTGCTACGACTTTGGCTTGGGGCTACGACTTCTGCTTCGGCCGCCGTCTCCACCACTGGCCGCAGCACTCGGGCTCATGTTGGGACTCATGCCGCCCATGCAAGGGGCCATGTTGCCACAGCCCATACAGCCAGGCCCTTGTCCACACATTGCATTTCCCATAGTGCCACAACCGCAGCAACCAGGACAGCAGCCACAGCCACATCCTGGGCACCCCCCACAGCAACAGCCGGCGGGGCAGCCGCAGCCACAACAGCCACAACCGCCACAACCGCCGCAACCGCCACAACCGCCGCAACCGCACCCTCCGCATCCGCACCCTGGGCAACCACACCCACACCCACACCCACCACAACAGCCGGGACAGGCTGGGCAGGCGGGGCAGGCTGTGGGGCATCCACAACCACCAGTACATGCCCCCGCGCACCCTGCAGGGCAGGCGGCAGGACAGGCAGGACATGCACCGGAACCACCAGAGCCAGAGCACCCACCAGAGCACCCACCAGGGCACCCACCAGGGCACGCGCCAGGGCACGCGCCAGGGCAGGCAACGGCAGGACACGCGCCGGGACAGGCGCCTGGACAGGCACCGGGACAGGCGCCAGGACAGGCGCCAGGGCAGGGACCAGGGCATGCGCCGGGACATGCACTGGGGCACGCACCAGGGCATGCAGCCGCGCCACCAGGGCAACCGCCACATCCAGCCTTGCAGCCGCAGCCTCCGCAGCCCATGCCACCCATCATGGCCGCATTCTGCATCATGCTGGCCGCCATCATGCCTGCGAGTTTGGGCAGGAATACTGCTAGCATGTGGGCGAATCTTGCAAACTGATCTCCTGCCTTGCATCATGTTCTGCATCATCATCATTCCCGGCATCATGCCCATCATGGGCATTCCGTCGCCGTCATCATCGTTGGTGGTCTCAGGGAAAGCACAGAACCCTTGAGGCGTCTGCTTGCGCTGGCTGGAACAGCATGGAGCCCTACAGCTTCATAGCAAAACCTCACTGAATGCCCCCAAAGTGGACATTGAAGCTACGAGATAGCTGCAGCAGCTGTTGGCTGAAGCTGGCCCCTCGAGAAGAATCAGCCTGGTTGACCACCGCCGGCGGGGCTTGCAGCTTTGCGGCTTCCTGCAGCATATCGGTGTGCAAAATGCGCAGAATGACAGCCAGCCACTTTTCTTCGGCTGCATGCTTTCGGGCTGCAGCTTCGCTTTGCGTCTTGATGGCATCCCACGTCTCGTCTCTTTTGTCGATGACCTGCCACCGTTTATGTAGCTTGTGGTAGAGGCACGGCAGAGCACGCGAGCAATCAGGCACATGGCCTTGCAGTCCTCAATGAAAGCATCTATAAGTCGCTTTTGCTTTTCTTTGCCGATAATGTTTCCATCGATGTCCACCTTCAAAACGTCCTTAAGCTCGATGAAGGACTCCCGATCCTCAAGGGCCCAAGGGCCGAAGGACAGCGCGCCACTCCCATGCAACACAAGCCCTAACTTACTGTCCTGGCCGCCGATACGCTTGTCAATTATCCTCCCTTCATAGTGGCCAGTGTCATTCTCGTCTATTTCTTGCTTGATGGGGACACGATACCTCAGAGTTTCGGCTTCGACTGGGGAGCAGTCTCACGTCTGATTCGGCGATGCTTAGGCGACATCTTCTGGGGCACTGACGATACAGCAACCCAGCTACCCATCTTGATGCCTTTGGTCATAAGCCGCCGCTGGCCTTCGCTCGTATGGCTCGAATTACTTACACTCCTCGACTGCTGCATACCCTGGCATCTCGCCTTTACCAATGACTCTGGTGGCGCCAGCAGTGCCACCCATGGGTCCGGACCTCGGACACAAGCCCCGCCCAAGCGCAAACGCCTCCGAGATTCTCTGAGGCCAAGGGCATTGCACTCACCGAGTCAAGGCCTCCTGGCAGGGGAGTCGTTCGGCTCTCGCTAGATATGCCTGGCCCTGGCCTGGCCACTTCCCGCCCTGCTCTTGCCAGTCCCACCTGGTACTCTCTCTTCTGCAGGGTTGGCCCAAACCGTTTCTGCAACAGCAATATGGGAGCGGCTCTCAAACCATGTTTTTCAAGCGGCTTGCTCAGCCACGGGCTGGCCAGGGCGAAAGGTGTCTTGCCACGTTTAAGCTCATTTGACTACATGCGTGAGCCCGCTTAACTGCGGTAACATGGCGGTAGACTCGACTGTCACGCCATGCGAGGCTCTGTGCAACAGAAGCAGAGGGTGCGAGAGCAAGCGTTTTGCAGGACACATCTTCTCCTCCATGTCAGCTGCGTCTACATAAATACCACATCACACCAGGATCGAAGAGCCCAGCACCGGTAAGACCTGCAGCCATGGTCTCTCTGTCACCCTTTCCCTGCTCTTTCCTCGCTTCCGCTGGCCTTGCCAGAAGGACCCCGTGCGGGCTCGGGAGCATAATTCCGTCCCGCACACCACCTTGAGTGCTCGGAGCCCAAAAGAATCAACCAGGTGAAGCCGTGGGCCAAGGTGAATCACGCTTCGCTTAGCACCGTGCGTTATGTCCCACATCCAGTTCTCGTCAATGATGCTTGTCGAAGCAATCCTGGCCATTGTGGCACTCACCTGTCATCCAGCACTTTAGAGGCAAAGCGACGGCTGAACGTCGTCAACACGCGAAGAAGCGTAGAGACGTTCTAACATGCTATATCCACACCGCACTAAGCTATCAGTGTGTATACAAGTACAAAAAAAGAGAACTGTATCGAAGCATGGACCTCGCACCGATGATCCTGCAACCGCTTGCCCTTGCGTGCATGGTCAGCCGATGAAGCCAAGCCGCCTCTGTGTCATCGAGATCGCGCCCTCGGCGCGCGACGCTGCCGCACGAAACAAACAAGGTGTCCGAGTAAGGTCTGGGCCATATCTGATTTTGATTGCTTCCCGAACTCTGTCCAGCTCCTTTGGGATTAGGTCCCGAACAAGGTCCTCCACAAGAGCAAGGCCATATCTCTCAGGCCACACGGGATTCTCCACACCTCACGCATCAGGGTCGGATCTTCGCACTGGGCCGAGACCTGGCGGAGGAGGCGGGGGACTTCAAGGTGGTATCTTTTCAAGATGGGAGCCTCCCAGAGCAGAACCGAAAGCCGCAGGTGCTCAAAGCTGCCCGGATGAGTCGCTGCCACCTCGAGGCCACCGTCACGGCACACACCGCGTGCTCTCAGTGTTTCTCAAGCAACTCAGGTGCCGACGGCGTCCAGGATGCCTCCCAGCGCCCTGCGCTGGCCCTCGACATCGCGGCGCAAGCGCAAGATGGCCAGGAGCTCGCTGTACTGCGCCTGGGCTACAACGCCACCGTTGCGGCCCATTCTTTTCGGGCATTCCCTGGGCTCCCCTGCGAAGTGATTCGCAAGCACCCAGTGGCGTTGCTCCTCTGGTAAGTCGCTCTCATTCACCTGGCACCAATTGAAGGTGGGCCCACAATGGCCTGCACACTCGCGGATCAACAAGCCTCCTTCTCGAAGGTGATGATCGCATCCAGGAGGTCCTCGGCCAAGTCGGCCCGCACTTCGACCAACCTCACAGTGGCAAAGAAGCAATTTGGAAGGAAAGAAGTAGCGACGGCAGGCGACGGCGACCCCCAATTGCAGCTTTTGCGGCTCTGGCTCGTTGTTCTCCGGGAAGTACTTGCGGAGCTCCTCGATGTCCTCGTCCTTCGGCATGCCCTTCAAGTTGTCGAAGCGATCCGCCAAGCCCAGTAGTCCTGAGCGGCACCAAGACGGGTGTCCTCTAACCAGCGGCGTGCCGCGGCCTGCTTCGTACTCGATCCGCTGCTCCTCACTGTCCTCGACAGGTGGCGCTGGCCGGTCCCTCAACCTACTCTACTACTACTAGTACTCTTGAAATGCTCTGAGACCCCATCGCGTATGGCGTCGTACTGCTTCTGCATGTTCTGACAAAGCTCGCCAAGGTTTGAGCTCTCTCGTGCTGACACAAACAACCGTCGACTGCCTGACGCTTCTCTTCCAGCTTCAGGTCCAGCGAACGCAGGATTCCCTCAACCCGGCTCCTTTGCTTCTCGAACCTGTCAGGGGACGGGGAGAGTGCTGAGAGCGCACAACCGTGACCGACAGAGCTGAAAGTGCCTGAGCTCAAGGTCTGCCGACGCCACAGCCTTGCTGCGCGGCCACAGAGGTGGGCTTTGGGGGCGATGCGCGCAGAGCTCCTGGCCACCTTTGAGGGCCACGTGGCTTCGCCCTCGCAGCGCGGGCACCTGCCCAACTACAAAGGCCGCAGGTTGACGCGCCCGCCATGATCTTTCTTGACTCCTTGGCCTGCACCAGAAGCCGTCGCCACCCGCGGCGTTGGTGAACTTCTCTTGGCGCATGTCCAAGCGAAGCCAAAGGTCCATAAATCCGAAAGTAACCTTGCGGCTGGCGATGCTTGCAGTCGAGAAGCGATCGGACCGCAGCGACAAAGCGGGCCTCATCTCCCGCTTTCAGATTCCGCGAAGCTCGTGCAACCATCACGTCGCCCCAGATCGTGTAGACAGCTGGCCGCGGAGCAAGCATGCAAGAGAGATCAACCATCAAACCACTCGGCGCATAACTTTGACAGCCGGGCCTGAAGGTGCACAGCTGTGTCGTGCCATAGCCGGCAGCCTGCGCAGCAGCACCAAGACGACCAAGACCACCGAAGCGAAGCTGGGTCCCTGGCACCCAAATGCCGGCATAGTTCTTGCCAGTGAGGATTTGTGACTCCAGGACCAGCTGCTCGCAGACCTCCCGTCCCGGGTAAAGAGTTGCACGGCCAGACAGCCAACCTTTGCCGCCTGCAAGTGATCGATCATGGACTCCGCGTCGGAGTTCCAGGGGCCAAACTCCCGAACGACCTTTTGCTTGCGAGAGAGAGCTCAGAGAGCACGGGCAGCTCCCAAGCCGGGTGCTCCCTCGCTAACTCTGCCTCTGTCTCTCTGGCCTTCGGGTCGTCGAGGGCCGCCATGACGGCATCGCTGTCGGAGTCCTCCCAGTCGCTGCGGTCCAAGAGGATGTCCAGAAGCTTGGCTTGTCTTGGGGACCTCGCACCCACTCTGCAGAGCTCAAGGGCCAAACCCACCGCCAAGGTTCTGACAACGTCGCGGCGATGATCAGGGCTGTCTTCAGCCGCACCGTGTCCCCAGCCTGGAACACATCACGAGACGAATAACCAAAGCAGCTCTAGTGGTCTAGCGTCTGGTGGTGCCTGATCCATGGCAGAGAAGGCCAAGGCATTCTGCACAAACAAGGGCTCGCCTGCCTGACGAACACATCGGGAGGATGCTTGGGACAAGCAGAAAAAAGGCGATCTGCCTCCACATCCCTGGTGACAACGATCTTCCGGGGGTGGACCGCTCCACCTCCCAACTCCTCCTCGTCTGCTTGGACGACCTTGATGGGCCCGATGGAGTTGGCAAAGTTTGGCAGAAAATAATGGGGCGGCCTCCAAGACACATACACAACCATATACTATCAATGACGCGGCCACATAGCTGCTCTACTTCCTTCTTCAGCCCATGCCTCGCTCCGGTGAGGACCGTGGCCGGGCGAGCGCTCAGGTTGCAGGGCTGGGGCTCCTGGGGGTCTGCGGATGTCTGCGGGCTCTGCGGACTTCTTGAGATGCCCGGCAAAACCCGCCGCCGGCCTGGGCCTCCTTCTGCTCCTTCCGCTCCTCTGCTTTGCGGTGCTCCAGCAGCTCATCGCATCGCCAGACGCACTCTTGCAGCTCAACTGCAACATCACGGACGCCTTCGCCTGAAAAGATGGGGGCAGGAAGGCAGCGGCAGAGCAGAGCTGAGAGCTTCGCCTTTGGAGTCCATGCCGGTCACTTCTTTGTACAGCTGCGCGAACCGGACACGCGCTTCCTTCACGCCTTCCAGCTCCTCTGCCCGGCCCAAGGCACGAACCCGGCAGAAGCGCTGTCTAATTTCAGCGTCCTGGCTCCCGGCTTGTGCGAAAGCTTCCGCGCAGCGAGGGTTCAGCGACTGCGGCTCGAAGGCAATCCACCGCCGAGCCGCTTCCAGGGCCACGTCCCAGAGCCTCACGCGACAAAAGGGGACAGGACCTGGACCCACCAAACTGCACCAAAGTTTTGAGCAGAGCGCTTCAGGCGGAGTCGGCCCAAGGTGAGCATCCGCCAGACCTCCGCGTCGTGGGGCTTGACGGCCAACAGTTCCTTGCCTGGGATAGGCATCAGAATGAGCAGGTCGGGTCGCCCTGAAAGAGTTGGAATTCGACCAATGGCGTCGAGGGGCAGGTCATCTCCATGAGCTGTATCTCGCCACGGTCGTAGGTTTCCATCATCAAAGTCTTGTTTGTTCGGTACTTCTTCTCCGGATCTTCTGCCATAGTCTGGTCTTGCAATCCGATAACCTTCACATTCCTTGGACATTGGAGATCCGTCTAAGTCCCTAAGTCCGGACGAAGCTTGGGGGCCTGGCATCTCATCCAAGTCTATCCCTTGCTCCTCCAAGTACTCCCTGGCCAGCTGCTGCATCTCCCTCAGTTTCCGAGAGTTTGCGACTTTGCGGCTGGGATGGTAAGGCCTCAAGAAAACTGGGATGACGGTCTGCTCTGCAATCCAATCTGCTCCTCTTGCTCGGGTGATCTGTCTCCCTCCAAGACCACCTGCTTGTTGGGCATCAGCGCCTTGATGTTCTGCACGAACTGGCCACGAGGGCAAAACAGCTTCGTGTTGAGTTTGACTCGCGAAACCCGATTGGTGCCTGATCTTCCTCCGCTCTGCGGGCGACTCTTCTGGCCTGATCGACATAAACCTGAACTTCTGCATTAGTCGGCTGCACCTGTCGCAAGCCACGGGCTCAAATCCCCGATGCCTGCTTCAGCCAATGCGGGCATCGCAGCACTCCTCCCAGCAAATGCAGGTGGGCCTATGGACGTTAAGAAGCACCGAACCCACGATCGGATGATCGCATCTCTCCTCCAGCCAATCTGCGGCAGGACCTGGACAGAACAAAGAAGCGCTGCAGACTCTCCTTTCGGGCCCCGGGCCTTGCCAGAAGTGCGGCAGGCAGACAGGCCCGAAGGGCGCAAAAGGCCGAATCCCCCAAACAGCCATGCGGGCTTTGCGGGCTCTGCGGCTTCACTCGCCCAGGTCGACTGGGCGAGGAGCCTCCCAAGAGGGCCGGGCCCTCTGGCAAGGGATAGGCAAGCATCACTGCGACTCGGACCGGACCGGAGCCACGCAGCTGGCACGGGCATGTTCTTGCGAGTCATGCCTTCATGCCTGTGGATAGATAATCCGGATATCGGTGTAAGAGACGCATGCTTTTGCGCCTCGCCGTTGCCGAAGCTGGGTGCTAGAAACGGGGCTCGACGCATAATGTAACGGTGGAAACCAAGAGCGCAGGCTCGGCAGGAGCCCTCGTGAGACAGTGGCAACATGCCCAGGCGACGGCTTTCCCATGCTGGCTGACAGGCTCGCAATGGGGGGGCCCTAAACCCTAAAGCCTGGGACACTCGGACTCCTACTCGAAAAGTACTACATCCTTGGAGACGCACTCTTCTAGACGTCTCTGCGAGTCCGTCTTCTCCATTGCAGAACGACCGGCCGGGAACGGCACATGAATTCGCAAGATGCAATTCTCTTCAGCAGGGTTCTGCTGTGCGGCCGTGTCACCCATGGCCATTAGCAAGGGATTGCTGCCTGCCTTCTTCTTGTGAGACTGCGAGAGTCTGCCACAAAGGTTAGGACCCCACTCAGCATCCCCCACGTCGCTTTGGCCGCTAACTTTCGTCAACTGTCGCTCAAAGAGCTCCGCAAAACGCTGGCAAGTCTTCCATCGACTTTCGTGGCGCCTGCACGGACACAGGTACAACAGGTGCAAAGGCCCTTGCACGACAACCCGGAACAGCATCCAGTCCACCCGCAAACCCTTGAGGCGCGCGCCCATTGAAGAAGCCAAAGCTTGGAGGCTCGATAGCGCCAGAGGCGATCTCTCTCAGTTCCTGCTCGTTCATCATGACGATTCGGATGCGAAGCATTCCGACATCATCTTTCCCCACAGGCTTGAGAGGCGTGATAAACCATCTTCCAGAAGCTTCGGTTTGAGCGCAAGTCAAAGTGAAAACATACCATGCCGACTGATAATAGGACTCCACACGACGGGCCTCATTGAAGAAGACATGATATGGAGCGAAGCAGGAGCTCAAGTGATTCGTGCAAGTGGTCAGCACATGCCACTTGTCTTCCTGAGACATCTGCGTCACCAGGAATGGTTCGTTTTTTTCCACAACCTTTTCGGCTGTGCTGAGAACATTAGCCAAGACAAACTCGTTCTTAAAGACTTCCGTAATGGGCTTCACGAAGAGTGTGCGCTTCTCCACGCGGCCCAGGGATTTCAAGTGCTCCGTCGTGAGCAAGACTGCCTTCGAGGGCTCAGAAGTAAAAACTGACCAAAATCTGCTCAAGGCAGGATGATGCAAGAGATGGACGGGACGACGGACAGCACAGCACTGCGAGCAGTGAATAAGTGAAGTACATAGACCGTCGGACACTTTTGAAGCCAAACCTGAACCACGCTGAGGTCCACGTGTCTACGCCAAAGCGACTCAGCTTCCTGTCGGTGGAACTTTCGGTAAAGGTCCTGACAGGGCATCGGGTGCTAAGGCCCAAGCATGAGGCGAATCCGTGAAGAACTCGGGGGAGGACTGTCCTGCAGGTACCTGAGGATCATGGCAATGAGGGCTCCTGCGATCATGGCCCATACTGTCCGCGAAGAGCTACCTCTCAACCTTGGTGGTGCCCAGGCTACAGCCATGAGTAGCGACACAAATGACTGCATCTGCGGTCGCCTGCTGCCGTGCAACCCCTTCAAGAGCGTTGACAGCGCAAATCGCCGTGGCGTGGCAACGGCACCACCAGCCGCCATGCCAAGAGGACACAAAAAGCCACCAACCCTCGTTTACAAGCCTCATGCTGGCGGGGAGGTGCAAACGGCATTCGGCCAGCAGCACTTCTACATCGCCGGTCCTGCCCACCCTGGTCTAGTAAGTCTATTATAGTCTATAGCGTCTATAGACCTCCGTTTTGCTGCGAAAAAGGTCAAGCGCGAGACAGCCCTTTTGGGCGTGCGGAAAACGGGGAACCTGACTAAGCTCTGAACTCCACCCGCCCTGTCACTCCTATAGGCTCTGCCTCTCACTTCCCTTTCCAAGGCTCCAAGTCGATCCTCTGAAAGACCGGCTTCGGCTTCGCCCCAGCCTGCCAGCAAAAGATCAAGCAAACAAGTGCCGCGCTGCCGGCTGCCAAGGCTCCAACGGCCAAGCCGGGAATCCTCAGAGAACGCTGACAGACGCAGAAGCGAGAGGAGGGAGGAGTGGAGTCCATGGTCCAGCGGAAAGGTTGAGACGGCATCCGACGGAGCGCGCCCGCGCACTCGCGGGCGGGGCGCGTGCGCGGGCGCGTGCAAGTTGGGGGAAGGAGGGCTCAGCCGAGGGGCGCGTCCCAGGACCACGCGGTCTGACTCCAAGCGAGCTGTCCTTTCTTTTGGCAGGGATGCAAGCGGGAGCTAGCGGATGCAAGCGAAGCGGGCCCCATGGGCCGAGGCCTTCGAGGCCGAACTCCTCCAAGATCTTCTGACTTAACCGAGGCGTCACGGGCGACAGCAGCGTGGCACAGATCCGCGCACCTCCGAAAAGCAGGGAGCAGAAGGGAAACAAGACATGGCCAAAAGCACGCCTTCGGCCATCACCAGCAGTTCACAGAGTGCCGTCTTCTTGTCCTCCTCACTGCTGGTCTTTTTCAGCTTCGCCCATGGCTCAACCTGACCACAGCGATAGCACTGCTAGAAAAAACGACACCTTCTCTGAACGTCGAAAGCTGTTTTCGCCCTTTGATGCCTGGGTCATCCTCAGATTGCCTGCCTGCACGATCTCGAAAGCCGCCAGGACGGCCTGCGAAAGCAACTGCCGACCAGTCGCGGCACGGACGACAACCCAAGCTATGCGTGCTGCGTCCTTGGGAATATCCAGCTGCTCGTAGTGGCGAGCGACGGCTGCTGGAGCCTGCAGGGCCGCGACACGCACCTGGCGTGAAAGCCAAAGAGACCCCGAGACGAGTCGGCTCTGCACTCCGACAGAGTCTGAGACGAGTGGCGGGATGTTTTTGGAGGTCCGAGTCCCCGCTGGCCAAAGCTTCTGCAGAGCAAGGCTCCTCGAGGTTCTTCCGGGACAAGGTGAGGATCCGATGGACCAAGTTCCCAAGCTCGTTGGCCAAGGTGCCTCACACTTTAAAAATTTACAGCCACATGCAGAAATCGAGTCCTACTGCGGATCGGGGCACTGTTCACCCTCTTTATGAAGGTCTCATAGCTGAAATCCCCATCCTCGCCGAATGCGAGGCACGCGGCGAAGAAGAATCGAACTGCATCGGGACCGAAGGACTCCACTAGTGGACCTGGCTCCACCACATTTCCCAGGGATTTGCCCATTTTCAGGCCATCCTTGGTCAGGAAGCCGTGAGTGCAGATGTGCTTTGGCAGAGGTAATCCGGCGGACATCAGCATGGCCGGCCAGTAAATCGCGTGAAATCGCATGATGTCCTTTCCGATCACATGAACCTCCGCAGGCCATCCCCGCGAAAGCACCGTCTCCAAGGTGGCCGGGTCATCGGGCTGCAGCAAAGAGGACAAATACCCCAGCAGCGCGTCGAACCAGACGTAGATCACCTGCGAAAGTGCACGGGAGGACATCTTAAAGCCTGACCCTGAAGCGGAAATGCTGGGCTGCAGCAACAGGCGCCGAAAGGACAAGGCAGGGCCGACAAATGAGCAGACGGAAGACACACGAGAGAGAGAGAGAGAGAGATATATATATATATGCAGTTCCTGGTCGGGCGATGCTGTGCCGCCAGCCCGTAAGGGGAATGCGAACAGACATGTTCAATCAAGGACACGGCAGAGTGTTCCTGGCTTGGGCATCGTTCGCGGTTGTCGTCAGGTCTGAGAACCATCCTGACCCGGTGTCTCCAATACTGTCCCTCAAAGAATCGAACCGAAGCGCGGCCACGGACTGCCACACTGCTGTAATTCGCTCGGGATCTTTGTACTTCGAAGAACACAACCCGATCTGTTTCCCCGGACCAAAGGCCCGCAGCCTGTGAATCATCGTCAGGCACAGGGATTCCCCAGGAAGTGCTTGCCCGTGAAATGGAGAAGTCTCGCTTGTTGTCCTCCCCCAACCAGACTAACACTTGACTGCGGCGGCTGGTGGGCAAAATGAAGTCGGGATTGTTCTCTATGTGTCGTCGGATGTCGTCCCAATACTTGGACAATCGGAAGAAGTAGTTCTCTTCACTTCGCTGGATGCATTCCTTCTGGTGGATTTTGCAGATGTGCCCCTCCGACATCTCATCGTCGTCCAAATACGCCTCACATCCCACACAATACCAGCCAGTGTAATCCTTCCTGGGTCACAAACGCACTCTGACGGGAGCCTCACGCAGGCAGGACTCCAGGACCCAAGGCTGCCAAGACGCTTGTAGATATCACCATTCTCCAAGCACCGCTGCCACATCTCACGGACGATTGCCTGCAAAGCCCCATCACTATGTCAGCTCCAAGTATGAAGGGCAACTGGATGTCTGACTGCGCTACGCCACTACGAGAGGCACACGCATCTGCGATCCCTCCAACGGTCCACGGCCTGACTCGGCCCCACCTATTCGAACCCGAAGGCCTTGTGCTTGTCGGGGGTGGTCCGTGCAAAGTGGTTGGCCTCGACGTCAAGCAGGCTCCAGAGCTCCTCAGTCAAAGCATGCAGTAGACTCAGTCCCCAGTGTCCCCAGTTCCCACCACCTCAGCAGAAGCCCCCGACCTGGAACTCCTCAGCAAAACCGTCCACCAGTTCCTGTGGGGTCTTGTCCTTGCTGGCCTTGCGCAAACCGGGAAGTTTGGAAGACAAGCATAGAAAAAGCCATGCATTCCTCGACAAGCCGAGCCACAGCAGTTTGTGCTATTTTCTCGCCATGCTCATCCATGCCAGTCACATAGTGGACATCAGCCCCACGCAGTTTGGCATAGCGCGCCAGAACGTCCGATGCGATTGCCGGATACGCGCTACCTGTCTGGCAGCGGCAGCTTACCGACCTGCAATCCGTAAGGCTTGGCCAAGGGACCGATGTGGGGGGAGCCGTTGGCATAAAACAAAGGCGTAGTGATCATCAGCTTTTCTGGATTTCCTGCAGGCATCAGGTGCTTTTTTTCTTGCACGAGGCGAACTGCCCCCCGGCCCGCCCCCACCCCGCCTGCTCCATCACGTTTGAACTGCAGCTGTGGATGCTTGTCTGTCCCTCGGCCTCGACCCTGGCAAGGCCCACAACCGACTTTGGGCGTTTCTGCTCAGAAGTCAATCAGGCCGCCGCCTCGCCTCCAAGGCTTCATCGA